TGCACACACCAAGGAAAAGCCAAGTGATTACTCAGTGAGAAGCTGGCCACCTCTAAGCCAGGGAGAGAGCTCTTACCTGAACCCGGCCACGCTGGCACCCTAATCTCCAACGTCCAGCCTCCAGAACTGTGAGCAATGAATTTCTGTTTAAGATAACCCAGTCTGCGGTAGTTTGTTACGGTGGCCCAAGCAAGCTAATACAGGGAGCCCAAGTCTGAGCTGTTCGAGCACGTAGGCTTTCCACAGGCTGGTGGCATTCTGACCGGTCAGGTGGCGGCTCTGTCTCGGGACAGAGCTATAAGAGGCTCTCTGAAGTCAGCCACTCCTGTTTCTGATAACAGCGTGGATTCCGACATTAGTGTTCCTGGAATCACTTTTGACAATGGTGCAAAGCTAACCAGCTTGTCCTTGGATTGACTCGTGACCTTGCCCTATTAATATTACATCTTGACTGATTGAACTTGGAAGCCTAGACCTACTTGTGATTTACAACTCTGGTCCTCCACGAGAAGATAAATGCAGGATTCAGTTTATCAGGTCCTACAGCTTGCTTCCATTCCGTCAGGGGGAATTTTTCCATTAGAAGAGGTAATAATCCTTCCCCTTTTTGTGTCCCATTGAGTCGCACACACCAATGGACTTCAGAACATTAAAAAAAAAGTCTCAAGCTGAGTTTAATATTTGATGTGGCTTTTACACTGCTGAGCCGTGTCCAGCCCTAAAAGCGTGGTTTCCATCTTTCCCTCTGAGTCTCACCTCCTGCACCTCTTTGATGCACTAAAAATGCTCTCTGTGGATCAATGAAGAGTTCCAGCCCCCAGACATAGAGCTGTGACAGGAAATCAATGTGTGGAGTGGACAGTTGAGGAGAACCTTAAATAATGTCTTAAGAGAACCTGCGCTCCTCAGTGCCCCACTCCCAGTGCCGTGGAGGCGGCGAGGAGGGGTCAGACCTGCTCACACGCATTCTTTTCTAGTGTGTGGAGGTTTAACAAAACCAGCGGATGAAAACGACAGTCGACATCATAATTAGAAAGCGTTTAGACTCACAGATAATTCTGACACTTTTTCCCTCCCTTCCCTATGGTGAGTATATAAAAAAATACTGAACTTGGCACTTTGCTTAAATCACGCTGAGGCCTAACATGTGCATTTTATTTTCTCTCTAAAAGCAACACTTAGAGACTTCCAGTTGATGGCATCACTTGGTACCAAGAACAGTGCGAGGAGGCTACTGGACAGAACTAGAGGCTACTATCCTCCAGTGTCAGATGAGGAGAGAGGTAAGTGCCCTGGTTTATTAGCTTCTTGTTACAGCATAAAACGTTGTAACACTGCCATCTGTAAGAGGATCTATGGAGGGGCAGCAAGCCAAGAGTCTGAACTTCCCAAACTACTGCAAGATACCTGCAACAGCTGTGGTGCTGAGTTTTACCAGATGCCTCCAGTTTGGGGTTCCCCCTGGTGGAGCACTCCTTGGTAACACACGCTGAGGCTTTTCAGGAGCAAAATTTATGCAAAGAAAACTTTTCAGGCCCCTGAAATTAGCTAAAGATAGGCAGGTGTTGGGGGGTATATTTTCCACAGTAGTTTGTACAGCTGTGTTTGCTAAAACAACAACAAATGCAAGACCCATGAGAAACTCAAAGGCCACTAATGTGTTACGGGAGCCCTGTGCCTACGAGAGCTGCTTGCCTGGATCAGCTGACGTGCAGCTGTTGCGTGGTGTTGTAAAGCTGCCTGCGGTTCGCAGTAATGTGCCACCACGATGCCGTTCGTGGGCGTTCAGTAGTGAGAACTAGGTGTGAGCTGAACCCGGAGGCGGCAGGCCTGTTCAGAATGTGAGGGGTATGTGGACGATGGCAGGGCTCAGGAGGAGGTGCAGGCTGTTTGTCGTAAGTAGGAAGGGAGGCATGTGTGGTTCATGACGGGGAGAAAGAGACCTGGGCAAAGGTGGTTCTTGGTGAGCATTAGTGGGTGAGAGACAAGAGCTGTGGAGAAATATTCTTCCAACTGAGAAATTACCATCAGCAGGAAACATGATTTAGAGAAGGAAGGGCTTCAGGTTACACAGGACTTTGAAGATAGACCTTCACTATTTCTTTCTAGGACATCATGACCAAATCTAGGGCTGCTCTGATCGACATGGCAGCCATTGGCCACATGTGGCCGGGGAGCACTTGAAATGTGGCTGGTGTGAACTGTGGCAAACACACATTGAATTTCAGAGTTAATTAAACAAAGCAATTTAACTATTTCAGTAATTTCTTAAATTGTCGATTACACGTTATAATGATAACATTTTGGATATATTGGGTTAATAAAGTATTTGGTTATTAAGATTAATTTTACCAGGTTCTTTTTAGATTTTATAATACAGGTACTAGAAAACTTAAGTTATATATGTGCTTTATATTAGAGTGCTGCTCCAGAGTTTTGCAAATAGATTAAGTTGAATTTCTTATGATCATACATCAAAACATTTTAAGTTCCCCAATTTTAAAAGCAAGTATCTCCAGTTCCATGAATTACTCTTTAAGTGATCTGGTTCCAGAGGGCTCACCAAGCAGTCACCCCACTGATCACACATCCACTTATCAATGTCTCCCTTGAACTGTGATGTCTGGAATTAAATGCTGCAGTGCTTGATGGATTTAGGAAGGACTGAGGGGGAGTCGATAGTACAAGGCCCTGGATCTATATGACACAGGCTGAGGTTGTCTTAAACCAGTGGTTCACAATCTTTCCACAGTAGCCTCACTGTGAGGTGGGCTCAGGTCTGAGTTGGACGTGACCCTCAGGCACTAAGAAGCCCCCAGGTAAGTGAAAGCAAGAACCACGGTCCTCCAAGCCTCTGGTACTCACATCTTCTTCCATGTACCTGGGCACCTCGGTCTTTCCCCATTATTGTAGCATCTGACCTATAGACTCAACTGGACTCTCTTCCACCTCCTCCCCTTGGGAGAGATGATGAGTGTAAAAAAAATGCCCTAGTTATATAAACAAGACATGCTGAATATCTAACTGCTGAGCTTTTGGAATTTAGAAATCAAGTGCCTCCAGAGCCGCACAAGGCAAGTTCCATCTTCTCTGTTCTCTGGGCTTCTCATGGCTACACCATCCCGTGCAAGCATCTATCCACTCCCAACTCACGCTGAGTTACCCATAATTGATCTGTAGGTGATACCAGTGTGTTTTAGGAGAATAGGAAACTCAGAGCTCTCAGAATGTTCCAGAGGCTCATGTTTGTTTACTTCAGGTGGCTGGCTGGAGGGGTTAGGGGAAGAACAGATAGCCAATTCTTTATCTCACAAAAGTCTAGCCACGTCCCATCACAAATGCATCCAACACTCTCTGCTTGACTAAGAGTTAGGATGGGAGACGACGAGAGGAGAGAAGTTAGCTTCTGAAGCAGGGAAAGGGATGCAGCCAGTTAGTGTACAGTGTCCTCGCCGTCTCCCTGGGACCACCACTCGCTGGACACCTGTTCAATCTTAGGAACTATTTACAAAACTTTGAGAAGCTCCATTAGGGCAACTGAAAGGTAGGTTTGTGCGTGTGTGCGTGCACGTGTGTGTGTTTTCACCATTTTAGGAAGAGAAATCTAAGTTCTCTAAACCTTTATTTCGAGGAAACCTCAAAATCTGGTATATCTATGTGATCTTACCACAAAGCAGTAACACTAGCACGTCATGAGCCGTCATTCAAAATCGAGCACGTGTTCTGCTGCCTTAGTTTCCCCAAATGAGTGTACAAACAATATTTCTACCTGGAGAATCACCAGGGGGTTTCCCTGCTTCTCCTCTGAGATCCTGCTGCCCTCTTCTCCTCTGGGCCCAGTCCTGCGGCGTACACTCCCCCCCAAGGGCTCCGTCTGGGCTGCCAGCATCTTAGCATAACCACGCAGGACCATCACAGAGACATTATGGGGACCTCTTGGTGAAAGGTACTTGGTAAGAAAATAATGCTTCATAAACAGAAGACCATCATTACTAGACTAGCTTCTTTCTCCCAGACTAATTATTTCACAGTCCTCCAGAATGAACTGCATTTGCCGTCTGCTGGCCCAATTACCTCAATGATCCAAATTCTTTTAAGCTGGTCACACAGCTCCTCGTTCTACCTTCAACTCCCATTTTAGTGCTGTCAGCAGATTTTAGTGCCCCTATGTTCAGATCCTTGTTGGAGCCACTTAACTTTATTACCTGTGGCAGCATACCTCAAAGCAGATCGGTGGCCCTCTGGACGCTGAAGGCAGTGGCGGTCCCGCTTCAGTTTCTAATCCAGCACTTGCCTCGTTTTTGTCAACTACTGTTTTGTTCTGTCTCATCTCTTTCTTAAAACTTTAAATGAAGTCATTTTGGAAAACTGAAGAAAGCTGCATGATGCCTGCATTCTTCATATTTCTTTATTAACTTGACTGAGGGGGGATAATTTTTGGCTTCTTGGCCATATTGTCTGGAAGTTAAATTCCAGAAAGTTAGGTGAGGATGACCTCTTTCACGTTGGAACTCTTTGACTTGTTGTTTGCCTGCAGTTAGCTGGTGGACTGGCCTTTACTGGGACAGGTGGGGCAACTGGGGCCTTTCCTCCCTGGCTTCTCCTTACGCCAGCAGCCTACCCGGGGCTGGTTCACATGGTGGTCTCAGGCTTCAGAGCAGCAGAAAGGCAAGCTCCAGTACATCACATTTGCTTTGGTCTCAGCAGTAAAAATGAAGTTGAATAGCTTAGTCTAGAGTTGGTATGAAAGGGACTATCTAACACCATGGCTACAGGGAGGCATGAACAGATTGGGTACAGACCTGCAATCAATCCACCACAACTAAATCTACGTAGTTGTAATATTTTAACAAAATGAGATCCTACTACACATGCTGTGTTACTCAGGGTTCTCTAGGGAAACAGAAACAATAGGCTATATATTTATCTACTGATAGATTTATTTTAAAAAATTGGGTCATGAAATTGTGGAGTTTGGTAAGTCCTAAGATATGCAAGGTGAGTTGAGTTGGCAAGCTGATCTCTCCAGTTGGTCTCTCCTGGAGACCCAGGAGAGCTGATGGTTTAGTTGCACTGTGAGTACAAGTGCCTGGGATCAGGAGAGCTGATTCTGTAGGTTTAGGCTGAAGGCTGGCAGCCTCAAGACCCAGGGAGAGCCAACGTTTCAGTTCGAGTCTGAAGACAGCAAAGAGTCATTGTCTCAGTTTGAAGGCAGCCAGGCAGGAAGAATTCTCTCTAGCGAGGGGAGGATCAGCCTTTTTTTTCTATTCAGGTCTTCATCTGATTGGAGAAAGCCCACTCACATTAGGGAGGACAATCTGTTTTATTCATTCTATTGATTTAAATGTTATTCTCATCTGAAAGCCAAAATACCCCCATGGAAACACACAGAATAATGTTTGACCAAATATTTGGACACCCTGTGTCCCAGTCAAATTGACACATAAAATTAACTATCATAAATGCTGTTGTGAATCCTGTCTTTTTTTTCCTCCCAATTTAAATATACGTCATGAACATATTTTGTGTCAGTAAATATAGATGAACAACATCATGTTTTATGGCTGCATCGCATATGATTGTATAATACACATACTTTATTTCCCTTCTCTTGACAAACACTTGAGTTGTTTCTTATATTTCAGTTTTATATTTGGGTGATGAAGTTTGATTCTTATTACTAAGTTGTCCTAAATAACTTGTATAATCTCACCAGCAAGTGTAGAAGAGTGTGACTAACACTAAATGTCCACTCACTCAGCAAATATTCGCTCAGCATTTACTGTGTGCCAAACACTTTGAGGAGTTAGGTATACAGCAGTGAACAGAGCAGGCAAGGCCCCTGGCCCCAGGAGACATCCATTTGGTGAGGAGAGATACCAGTAGACGAACAAACACATAGCTTGGTAAGGTAACCACAGCTTGTGATAGGTGGGACGAAGGAAGTAAATGGTGTAACATTACAGAAGCATAAAGGGGTGGAGGTGACTGCTGTAGACAGGGCTCTCCTGTTCATTTTTGCCAACCTAATAGAAGGAGAATTTGCTTTAGTATTGAAGAGAAAGAAAGATATTATGAAGAACATGGAATTTGAGTTGAATCTTGAAGTACACAAAATAGAGTTGGGCGAGACCTTTGGCATGAAGCCTTCTGAAGGTTTTGCATAATCAAAATTGTCAGGATGGAAAAATCCAGGAGTGACTGGGAAAGGGTGGACCAATCAATTCCTTAAACCAGTTGTGGAGAATTCAAGTGGGTGTGGTTTCCAGTCCCCGCTGGATGTGAAGCTCTCTGAGGAATCTCTTGTTGTCATTCTAGATAAAAGCCACATAGGTTAAATCAACAGAGCCTGACTGTACCAGGTACTTCTTTTTCCAGTGTCATTTCATTACTTGTTTTGAGTAGTCTGAATATGCATATTAATAAAGCCAAATTTTGTAGGTGGTGATTCTGTTACTTAGTTCATTACTGAGCTCACAGCAGGCTCTTTCAAAGGGCAGTTATGGGTGTTTGGTCACAGCTCTCTCACCACAGATGTCAGGTTTGTATTGCTTAATGTCATGGTGTTATCTCCTTATGTTTCATCATTCAAAACAAAATATGTTTTAAAAAAACTGGTCCTGTGCCCTGGCTGGTTTGGTTCAGTAGTTAGAGCTTCGGCCTGTGGACCGAAGGGTTGCGGGTTTGATTCCTGGTCAAGGGCATGTACCTGGGTTGCAGGCTTGATCTTGGCCTGGTCCAGGCTCATTTGGGAGGCAACCAATCTATGTGTCTGTCTCACATTAATGTTTCTCCCTCTCTCTCTCTCTCTCACTCTCCCCCTCCTTTCTTCTTTCCCTCCCTTCCTCCCACTCTCTCTGGAAAGCAATAGAAAAAATATCCTCAAGTAAGGATTAAAAAAAAAAAGACTTAAAAAACCCCCAACAAAACTGGTCCTGCAATTAAGGCACATTACCACCAGGAGGCGCTGAATTCATCCACTGACCCTCCCACCATATAAATCATCATGTGGTGAGTAGGACAAGAAATCATCAGGTCATCATATTATAAAAGCTGATCTTGTTTAAGTTGGAATTTAACATTAACCAGCGACTAGTTTGTAGCAGCTTTGTAAAGTAAATAGAAGTCGAAGGTACGATTTGGTGCCTTTTGCCTTTCTTATCAATGTGTTGTATAGAGACTGTGATTAAAATGCTCTTTTGCAATTCACCATGAATATCTTATAGTACAACCCAATGAGAGCTTGTAGCACAGGACTCCCCTCACTTAGTTCCCCCCCTCCTACCCAGTTTTGCATCCTACTGTGGCATGCAGGGCATGCCCACTCCTTGTGCTGGACCCAACCCGTCTTTATCCCGTTGTCCATTTCAGAGGGGCTAGAAGCTGGTGATCTTGGGAGGGGCAGCTGCCCAGAAGGGCCGATGGGTGAGCAGGACAGCGGCTCGGCATACGTCTAAGTTCCCACAGCTGGAGCCGAATGCATTGCTGACCTGGTTCAAGAAACCATTGCAAAGACACCATTCCACAGAGAGGAAAATCAATAAGTAATTTCTTTCCCCCATGTAGCTCCATGGGTAACAAGGATGAAACACATCCACCCACGGCTGTGAGGGAGTGTGCCTGGAGTGCAAGGCAGCTTAGGGCTCGGCTCCAAATGGAAATAAAGACAAATGGGAGAGGCAGGGAAGGCCAGAGCAGACAGAGGGAGATGCGCAGGGAGCCATTTCTCATAGGCATTTAATTTTCGTTTCACTTGGCACTTTTGCATCAAGGCTGGCTGTTGGCAGAGCTATAATTCTATTTACAGATGGACCGCGTGGAATATTTTTCAGGGTAGAGGGCGAGTCTCGCCTCTCTTGAATCTGCACCTATCCCCTGGCCTCCTCATCGCTCCCAGTTTGGAGAGTACACACATTGCAAGTAAGTGATGGAATGGGAGTGCAGGGGAAAGAGAATGCCTCCTGTGCTGTCGGAACGGAGCTGGCACCACTGTAATCTGTTTTATTTATTTTTTTTCTTCCTGAGCATTGCCACGGAAATGGAGCTGATTCAGCTGAGTTTGAGGAAACAGTAGCAACATCAAGTCAAAGAAGCTTAGTGGTTTCGTGGCCAATGCTGGCTTATTTCTTTGTTGCTTTCTGAAACAAGTATTGTAGACAAAGCTCTTGATTCTGTTTTTTTAGGGAGTAGAAAACTATTTAGTCCTAAAACATTTTTTAATACTTTGGCTTAGGGGTCAGTCCAAGTAAACAAACCTAAGAGCCTCAAACGCTTTCGACGCTAGTGAACATTCTCTGCCTAGGCAAACTAGCAAACATGTTTTTTTCCTCCTGACTTGTCTTTCCTAGTAGGTGATGAAATGCAGATGTAACACTATTTCCAATTATATCAAGATGATGAAGCAACAGGAAAGTTCTAGAAAAAAACTTTGATCCATTAATAGAATTAATGGTCTCATTATGTTACCTAACAACTTTTATTTTCCTCTGTGTGCTGAGAAGCATGAAATTGTCATGTAAATAATGTCACATCTGTGCAAACAATTCACAAGGTGCTCTGCAAATTCAAATTTAAGCTGTCATTTCTCTTAGTGTGTTAACCGTGTCTTCCCTGAAGCTTTCTTCCACCTCACACGAGAACGGCATATTGATTCTTCATTGACCCTCGTTCCCGTGTGTTTTCAAGGTCTGGAGAGATTGCCCATCAACACAATTTGGAATTAGGATTCCATGAGCAAAGAGAGCCAGCAATAGGCTTGTATGAATTTTCTTAGCATTCCTAACTGGTTTTATAACCACCTTAAAGGTAATTAAATTTTCTTTTTGCATTTGCTTGTGTGCTGAAGGTCCCTGGGGCTGGCAGAGGTAGAAAGGAAGTAATCATTACAGAGTTGTGACTGTTCTAATCCCTGAAGCAGCCTCCTAATTCAGGTGCTCACATCCGAATCCCGCAGGCCGGATGCTGCAACTGAATGGTATTCCTTCCCAGAGAAATGTAGTTTCTGGCCTTGTGTGTTTGGGTGCAGGCATTAGCTGCTCACACACACACACACACACACACACACACACACACACACACACACACGCACGCACACACGCACACGCACGCCTTCACCGGAAACTTGTATTAATTAGTGATGCAAACCCGAAGTATTCCAAAGTGAATGAGGGAGTTACTTTCCCAACTCTTTAGATGCAACAAGCACACATTTCATGTCATCTCATTAAATCAGGCCTCGCCACTCAGGAATGTAGTTTCGTTAGCTGGCCGATTATTTCCAATGCACCTTTTGTCCTGCATTTAAATAGTCTTAAATGAGTGCACTCTTTATGGTGGCATCATCGGTCTCGCCACAGTGCTGTTCCACCGGCACCAAGCTAATTGCAAATCAAGTTTTAGCATCTCAAGGAAGTGAGGGCTGGGAAATGCCTTCTCCCGTCACTCGGGCTCGGGCAGGGTAACAAGGTGACAATGCCCAGCCTCTCCTCCTTGGCAGGGGCTTTTTAGGGAGTGGATGTGTGTGCGGGGGATGGGGGCAGTACAGGAGGACAGATGGGCTCGGATAAAGAGGCCGACCACTCTCCAAGTTCCTAAGATTTGGAACTTGCTGTTTCAGCATCTCGGTCTAATGAAGACATGACTGGTTCTGCTTTTATAAATGTTGGCTCTTTGGATATTTGGTTATTACCCTTCAACATACTTTAAAACTCATCGAAATGATCGTACTGCTTCCTGGCTGCTCAAAGGTAACAGTTTCCAGGTGGCCATAGTGACCAATTTGACAAATGGCCTGTGTTAAACTTGTATTTTACATTGTGGGTAATGAGACCGGCCCAGATAACCAGTTCCAAACTGTCACTCCTGCTGACGTGGACTTGTCGGGGTGTCCTCCAAGGGTCCACCGGTGGTGGCTTCTCACTCTGTGTGTTTACTGCTTATATGGACACGGCCAGGAGGACCCCTGCCTGCAGCCCAGTGAACACTTACTGAGGACCCAGCGAATGTCACCGTAGCTTGAAATACAAACAGGCTCCTTGGGATTACCCACATCAGTGACAGATCACAGATTGCCCAGGTGTTGACACAACCACCCAAGCATGGAGTGGTCTCAAAGACCATCCTAACGATTACATTTATTTTTATAACAGGTTGTCAGGAGAATGAAGGACTATGGTATAGTGTCATTTCCCATCACCTCTGAATCATTTACAAATGTGCTCTAGGAAGGAGTCTTGGGAGCCCTATGAAAAATGGAGGTCGCATATTCCCTCACAATCGCATGGTTGCCTCCTCCGAGGGCCACGTGGTGTGGCTCCCCTGCACTCAGGACAGGGCAGACGGCCTGTGGAAAGCCTAACACAGAGAAATGCCTCCCCCGTGGCGAGACCACAACAAGAAGTGCATGCACGCCTCCTCTCCCTGAGGCACGTAGCAGCCACGCACTCCACAGTCACCGTTTCAGGGAGGGTAGTGAGTTACAGGGACACAAGCTCACTGTTTTCCGGGAACCCACCAGAAAGGTTAAAGGAAAGCAACATCATATATCCTTCAACACAGCTTTTTGGAAACAGAATGACATGTGCACTTAGATATCGTTTGCTTGTCCTACGATTATTCAGACTCTGTTAATTGAGTGTCTACTACATGCGAGACTCTGTCCCAGGCACTAAGCAGAGCCTTGAACTAACGAGTCAGGCACTGCCTCACTCAGCTAACGTTCTAGAGGGGACAGAGACAGAAGAGAAAACCACGGGCAATATAATAACCCTTAACAAAACCAAGAAGAAAACTCCAGCAGGAACAGGGGCGGAGAGTGAGGGGGTCCCGCTGTGGAGGGCGCTCGGGGACAGGCTCCCCGAGAAGGAGCTGTGTGAGCGGGCCCAAGTGTCCCAAGGGAGAACCACAGCAGCACCCGGGGAGGCGGGCCCAGGCCCGGAGGTAGGCACATGCTTGGCTTCCGAGAGAATTATTCTGAAACCACCACCTGCGGTTCATGAACTGCCACCCCTCCCTCAGCCCCTGCTGCCTGCGGAGAAAAGCCCCCAAAGCTTTAGAACTTGGCTGCAGTGCTCCTCTGCTTGTTCCGAGTTGGAAACGTCTTAAGGCAAGTTTTGTCTTAGTGGCTTTTAACATTAAAGAGAGGGGGGAAAAATAACACCGTGTCACATGGATCCGGCTTTCTAGTCCCAGACGTGACCTGACCTGGCAGGGTGGGTTGGGGCAAGTTTTGGACCCCCCTGGGCCATTTTTCTCCCCTATAAATGGGAGAGTGGGGTGAGGGGCTTTAGGTTCCCAGGAGTTGTGTGAATCTCTCCACATGAGTCTGTGCATCTCTCCATGTGAGTCTGTGTGTGTCTCTCCACGTGAGTCCGTGCGTGTCTCTCCACGTGAGTCCGTGCGTGTCTCTCCACGTGTGTGCATCTCTCCATGTGAGTCCTTGTGTCTCTCCACGTGAGTCTGTGCATCTCTCCACGTGAGTCCGTGTGCATGTCTCCACGTGACCCAGGCGCAGTTTCTCAAGTGAGCCTGCGGGTGTCTCTCCAGGTGACCCATGCGCAGTTTTCCACGTGAGCCCATCCGCTCTCCTCCTGCCCGCCTGGGCGCATTCTCTGCAGTGAGCTGCTTTATATTCTCCGTTGACAGTGTCTGTAGTCCCATGGGCACGCCCCAGGCTTTCCCTGAATGCTCGCTCCTGTGTCCTCTCTCCTTTTAAGCTCACGTGCACTCTTGTGAGCTTTGGCTGTTTTAGTCCCACAGGCGGGTGCACAGACCTCCTTGCAAACTTTGGAGGTCTGTGACTATGACTGTTGGGGTCTCAAGGTCTGCAGGGAGTGTGCCCTGCTTTAAACAGTGGCCTTTCCTCAGGGCCTTCATCCAGGTAGGATA